GATAATAGTATCTATGTACTGAGTACAATCTCTAAGCATTCGAACGCAAAACAAGCATCCCATGTTAGTATGTATATTTACCAAAGTCTGCAGATTAAGAATATTATCAGGCTTATCTATCTTAAAAATCCTTAAATTTTTTCAATGATTCATCATACCGAATAAACTACTCTCAACATCTATTTCGTCCAACTGCTTGACAAGTCAGGTTATATTAACGCGAGGTATATTTATTAATTTACTTCTTTTGACAATTTTTTATAGTGCGTTACATTAATCGTAGGGTCAGAACTGAATACTCGATGAGTATTCCTCATGGATCGTTCAGCTCAGAGCACAGTTTTAATCCCAGGGATAAAATGCGTTAAGTAAGTTTATCAAATGCGTGGTATTCAGTCAGTCAGTCAGTCACCAAGTAGAACTTCGAACATACGTACTTCAGTTCAAGTTTTCATACCACGTCAGCATAGAGATGCAACTGCCATTTCAAATCCCAAGTAATAGAGTTCGTAGAAGTATTAGCAGTAGTAGGAGAGAGTAGGGTTCGAAGACATTATTCAAGACCTATAATCCAGTGAAATAAATGTGAAGAGATGAAGATGAAGATGATGAATTGAGAAGATTAGAATATGAGCGTACACAAAGAATAGATATACCTGCACCACTGCAAATGATTTTGAGCCATGTCATTCAAGGTCTCTAACCATCGATTACTGAAATCTAACAGACCCCAGACAGGTAGTCTACATCTAACAACATGACCTAGTACACTTGTCAGTGACTTCATGGATTTATGCTATGTCTTAGTTTGGCAGACCCTAGCTTTCTTGCAGCCTACTCCTATACTACAAAACATAGCTCGTCTAGGCAGTCGGTAGTTAAGCATACGCAGCACATGTCCAAACTACTTCAGTTGATCAAGTTTCATTACTTCATCAATTGATCAGCCACCCTTACCTAATACTCACTTCCTAACAAATGTATTGCCTACTCGATAGTCCCAGGATATACGAGCAGTGATTTGGAGACGCCTATGATCGAAAACCAATAATCTACGAATATCTCCTACTCTTACTGGTCATGTTTCATAGCCATAAAGTAGGACGGAGCGTACTGCTGCGCAGTTTGTAGACAAATACATCGCCTACGCCATAAGAGGCGCAAGTGTGCAAAGGCCAGTCGAGCCTTCCGTCTCCGTGCTGAGATTTCGTGACACATCAGGCCATGAGCACTGATGAGACTCCCGAGATAAGTAAAGCGGTCGACAAGCAACATTTTGCATTTCGATCGGGAGAACTACACCTCGAACATTCTTTGATTGTTGCTTAGGGTGGTCAAAAGACTTTACATTCTGTCAGTGTCTTCACCAAGTCGAACTATTTCATCGGTGTATTCTAAGTAAACAAACGAATCTACTGATAAACGTGGTATTATCAAACTGTTTAACAAGAATTATAAGGAAAACTTAATTTAAACTGATATGAAAATCAATAATAGAGCGAAACAGGTAACTATGAAGAAAGGAAACTGTTAATAATCACCCATCTTAATAATTACAACATTGTCAGTTAAACGTTTGTATGACAGGGAATATCAGCATCATCTTTTGATCGAAATGTGTTGAGTTCCCTTTGATAGAGGATGTTAGAGGGATTTTCCAACTATAAACACAGTTGCAAATTAAAAGTTAGTAAAATTTGCCACCAAACAGTGAGTATACCTTTTGAATACCTTTACTAAACTACTCAACAATTTCAAGTGACAAAAGTTATTTCATCAAGAAATTGAATCTGTGTCCATCTCAACAACTAAAATGGAGATTGTAGAGTTTTTAAACATCGTTTATATGCTCTGGACTTACCTTTCATGATTCCGTTAGCTCACAGTGTGTATAAGGCACATATTAATTAAATTTACTATGCCGTCTAAATTGTCATTTCTCATCAGATGATATAGACCAATAAGTGAAATAAATTCTTGAAAGTTAGTGATATGCCTTGAACCGAAGTGGGTTTTCTATGGACTTTAGTGAAAGCACTCATAGATCAGTGAAAATCATTCTTTTAACTTTGTAATCATCGTAGAAATCCAAATAAAAAAAATGGTCACAGCATTCGCATCTTAAGGTGAGAACGAAACAATCACATGGAACTTTGTAAAGCATCAAGCAAACGCTAAATTCTGATGAATATCTGAGTCCTGAGAAATAATCAACTGTACTCATATAGTTGTTGCATTCCCAACTTGAGCCCTGAAATTAATAACATTTGCTTAAGTTCTATCTACAGTTGATTTCACTGAGACGTTGACTAGAGTTTAGGTGTCTCAAAAAGTGTGATTCCGGTTGTAATAAACAGCTCAATGAACATCACATGACGAATTTCAGCTCTATTCTAAACAACTAGAGGACATAAAACGATTTCATAGGTTCCCTGTTGAAGATCTATGGGGAGAGCTATTAATATGAGTTTTATAAGGTCATTTAACTCAACATGAAGCCCTTTTGCGGCTAATGTCAGTCCCAAGCTTGGATAAAAGAAAAGGGTTAGGCATGGGGTTGGCGACCACACACAAGGAGTTGCACTGATGCTGTACAAACAAGCACAAAAGGCACTGATAGGATGGAAATATCATGGACCCAGGATCATCGAAGCACCTTCAAAACAAAGAAAGAGGGCATTACAATAAACGTCATTCGATACTACGCGTGTACCAACGATTACAATTAATACACTAAAGGTCAATTCTACGAGAGTTTTCAGTCAGTCGTTGAGAAATGCCCATCAAAGGACATGACTTTTCTGAAAGAAGAAATGGATGCAAAGGTAGGAATGGAAAGGACTGGATATGAAGACATCGTGAGACGACATGGGCCTTGCACAATCTACTCAATGGAGAGGAAACAACCTTGGAGAACTATTGCAAAGGGATCAAGGAGGCAACTACTTCATTATGTCAGGAGGTTCCTGGCCACAAGAAACACCATCACAAGGAATGGATCTCTGTTGGTACTCTGGATAAGATCCCGGAGAGAAGGAACAATAAGGCAGCAATCAACGTCAGTCGAACAAGAAGAGAGAAAGTCATGGCACAAGTTGAATACACAGAAGCAAACAAGCAAGTGAAGAAGAGCGTCAGAGCCAACAAATGAAAATATGTGGAACATCTAGCGATGACGGCGGAAAAGGCTGCAAGAGACGGAAATTTTAGACAATTTCACGATACAACAAACCAGATCACTGCAAAATATCGTAAACCAGAACAACCAGTGAAAAGCAAGGAAGGTAAAGTACTCAGCAACATTGAAGAACAGTGAAATAGGTGGGTAGAGTACTTCAAGGAACTCACGGGTCGACCAGCCACACTGAACCCACCCAACATCGAAGCAGCATCCATGGACCACCTAATCGATGTTGGCTCACCAACAATTGAAGAGATCAGCATGACCATCAGACAAATCAAGAGCGGCAAGGCAACAGGACCAAACAACATTCCAACAGAGACAATAAAATCAGACGTGGCTACAACTACAAAAATACTCCACATTCTCATCAACAAGATTTGAGATGAAGAACAAGTACCAACAGACTGAAAAGAAGGATACCTGATCAAAATAACAAAGAAAGGCCATCTCAGCAAGTGTGAGAACTACAGAGGCATCACTCGTCTCTCAATACAAGGCAAAGTCTTCAACAGTGTTGCTAAACAGAATGAAGGACTTCGTAGACGCCTAACTTTAAGATTAATAGGCTGGATTTCGTAAGGATCGATCGTGTACTGACCAAATTGCAACGGATTACGGATCATTGTGGAACAATCAATAGAATGGAACTTACCACCCTAAATTATCTTCATTGACTACGAGAAAGCATTCGATAGCTTGGACAGGAAAACACTGTGGAGGCTTCTTCGACACTACGGCGCGCCTGAGAAGATAGTCAACATCATACGGAATTCTTATGATGGATTTAACTACGAGATCGTGCTTGGGGGACAGCTCACAGACTCGTTTGAAATAAAAACCGGTGTCACACAAGGTTTCTTGCTCCCACTTTTTATCTTTCTCTCAGTGACTGACTGGATTATGAAGACGTCAACATCTGAAGAGAAGCACGAGATACAGTAAACAACCAGGATTAGGCTGGACGATTTGAACTTCACAGATGATCTGGCTTGTCTATCACACACGAAACAACAAATGCAAGGGAAGACAACCAGTGTAGTTACAGGTCTCAACGAACATAAAGGGAGAGGCGAGATTCTCGAATACAACACAACATGAGCCAATCAAATCACTCTTGATGCTGATGCTTTGGAGGAAGTTACCATCTATACATATCTGGGCGGCACCACTGATGAGCAAGGTGGATCAGATGCAGATATGAAGGCGCGGATCGACAAAGCAAGGGCTTCATTTCTAAAAGTGAACAACATTTGGAACTCCAAATAACTATCAACCAACACCAAAGTCCGAATTTTCGATACAAATGTCAGGATAGTTCTAATGTATAGGCAGGATACTTGGAGAACTTTCGAAGCCATCTTCCAGAAGATACCAGTGTTCCTTAACAATTCTCTAGGCAAAATACTTCGGATTCGTAGGCTGGACACCATCAGAAACAACCTATTGTTGGAAAGAATAAACCAGATTTCATTGAAGGAAGAAATCAGGAAGAAGCTTTGGAATTGGATAGGACACACAGAGGAAAGCACTCAGCTGCGTCACAAGACAAGCCCCTACTTGGAACCTTCAGAGTCAAAGAAAAAGAAGAAGGCCAAGGACACATTATGCCAAGAAATGGAGACAGGCATTAGAAGAATAAACAAAAGTTGGAAGGAACTGGTGATGGAAGTCCAAGACAAAGTAGGTTGGAGGATACTGGTCGGCAGATCCATGGGGGGTAATAGGAGTAATTACGTAAGTAATAAAGTCCATTAGAAAATAAAGTTACTTGAACCTACTAAGTTCATGGTGCAGAATTTGGAATATTGAAACTCACCTGGTCTTACATCGCTTCTAACAACAAACCTTTCAGAGGTAGCATCAAAAGGTTTTGGCTGAAAACGCCTTAACCACCTTTTTGAAATCGTATCACTTTTTGGGTCATATGCATTTGGGCCAGGTGTTTGAGTAACTTTCTCTTTGAATCTCTTAACAAATATCAAAATAACATAAAGTTTCTGATCTGTGAAAAGTAAAATTAATGATCGAAATTGTAGATAAAAAAAGCTATACAGAAACAGTAGTAGGATGATAGATTTACCTTAAAGTATCAAGTAATTTGACTAACCTAATCTACGAACTGAATATAATGGCATTTCTGTACAGTTCAGTCAGTAGATATATCAGGAACTAATTTGCAGATCTTTTAATAAACTGTTTTAAGCATTTCTTACTGAACTTAGTCATATATATTAAAGATCATTTTTATTGATGACTCTGATAGCTGGTATTGATGATTTCGTCAATGATTTACGTAATTCAATATATTTATTTTCTAAATTGTTTGCTTGATTCTATTAAAAACAGATTAAAGTAGATATTTATTTTTTAAGTTAATTACTGTTTCCTGGCTAAAGCTTTGAAATTTTTAGGAAATGAAAGAGAACTACGAGGGTCGGACATTTGATGGACGGTTTTTAAGAAGTTTTATGTTCCACATATTTTCATACATAATGTAATTCGAAATCTTATCCTCTCTGAAAACTTGAAACTTTCGCTTAGCCAATTGCATACAAAAAAATGAGCTTCCTACCAACCTCATTGACAAAAATATACAGCTATCTGGGTGACTTGTTAAAAGGATGCACGAAAACTAGGATCATCAGCGATAATCTATGTCAGTAGATATCATGTTCGTTTAAATCATATTCTCAGCATAACAAATTCAACTGAAGTGTCTGCTTAAAAAACCTCCATTTTTAATTAAATCATTAATAAACAATCCTTAATCACTATAAAGTGCTGTTTTACTGATTATCATATGGTTACGGCCTATTGTCTCATAATTAATCCCAATTTGCTTAGCATGCTTCTTTGAAGAATAGGAACTTGATCAACTTCAACTAACTCTCAGAGCTTGTCTGCTAAGTCTATTACAATAAAAAATCCGTTGTGCAAATCAATTACAGTAAGAATTATTTAGAAGTAACTACCAGCAGACAAATACCAGATTAAATATTGTCCACAGGACATGTAACCACCAAAATTAGGTAGAAAAATTAAACAATATGTTTCTTATGTGAAGTTTGTACCAACTTAAAAAATTTTTAAAAATTAAACGAGGGTTGGGTGTGAATTACTTGTTCCTCAGTGTTAAAAGGTGCTTGTACCACATCAGCCTTCAATATTTGCTTGTCTTGGGTGTTGTATGAACAAGGGCCAGGAAAGTTCTATTGAATGGGAAAAAAAGAGAGGAAAAAACTGAAACACCAATAACAAACAAAGGTCTGTAATGGTTGTCATTAAAGTTATAATGTATATATATATATATATATATATATATATATATATATATATATTTGAATGGAAATACATCTTCCGTGACTTCTATATTGTACTGCCAAATATATATCATTTTGTTGATAAAACTTTTAAGCCGCGCATCCAGCAATGCATTGAAATTCGGAACTTAAAAGCCTTTTGAAACATAGTGGCACTTAATAGATATATGAAACATTGTTTGACAATTTTAGGTAATGAATATTTTGGCCTAAATTATTTTAATTTTTAATGCATTATTAATATTTTGGCTAACATTTGATGAATATTGGCTGGTATATTTGCCCTCTGTGCGATTTAACTCAATATTTTCATTATGGCACAAGTTCACATAGGAAAGGAGGAAAGTGGTTAACTATAGAATCCAAGACTCGTGTTTTGTCCAACCTAAGACTAGTCAGTTAGAGTTGATGTTAACTTCAGTATTCCAACCTGGTACTTTTCACTTAAAACGAGATTGAGTTATTTACCTAGCAGTTGAGTTTAGATAATCACTCACTTGTGCAACAAGTATGACGAGCCCTGGATAGGACGAAACGTACATCCTTCATTCCACTGTTAATAACTATCAACCTCTTCTAATAATGCCTGTAACCTAAATGTAATATCGGTAAAATCTGCGTAGGATGAACATATACCAAAGAGAATGATCACTGACAGTCCTATACATCAACGGGAAGATTAAAATAACCAATAAAAACGAACTAATATTATTGTTTGATCAAAAGAGGAAATTCGCTTTCACATTTTTAGGAGTTTTTAACAGATTAGTTTGTCTGTAGCAATTATTTTCGACTAACAATCCTAAGTCCGTACATTACACTGATTTGATAGTCTTTTTTCAAAATAAACGAATAATTCACTGTTTTTATCTTAAATTCCTCCATTTTATTTTAAAGATGGATATAACTGTGGACTTACGGTTTTAAACAATTTCAACTAGTTGTTTTAACAACACTCTCATTTTATATAAACAGCTGACCATCGTCACACTGAAGTGTTATTATCTGTATTTTAACGAGTCAAGAAGTTATTCATCTATTCTCCGAACGGATGCATACAAATATATTTTTTATAAATTTATATACTTTATGTGTACCTAATTTAAAGCAGTAATTTTCTCAATAGTTATGCCTTGTATTATTTTAAGGACAAGAAATCACTTTAAAATCTTTGTGTATTATCATAAACGTTAGTTCAATAATAGAAATACTGATACAAATAAATCAGGAGTAAGTTCTGTCAAACAAATAAGTCAAGTTGTTATTGTTAGTTTATCAAATTAATAAAACTGCATGCTACTAGTTTGTAATGAAATTTACTTAATGTCTAGAGTTATTATAAATGGTTTGACCTAAAAATTTGATTTTTAACCTGTTATTTAAGATCTAATAAGTGATAAAGTCAGTAAAACTATGTGTTTTCTACTCTTTATGTAAGTTAGCATAAAATGGGAGGAATGATTAAATCATCGGCAGCATGAGCTTTAGAAAAACATAATTATTCGCTGAATTGACTGAATATATAGTAAATAGATATTTTTGATTAACTTAGCAACTTAATTCACGCTTTTGGCGTGAATAGTTGTGAATCACCAGCTGAACTTCAGTAGCTGATAGCAGATTTTCTTTTGTCTATCCAAGTAGACAATAAACTAACTTCAAAATCACTTTATTATTCTTCATCCATTTGTGATTTTGAAATGCTTGACTAATTTAAAACAGAAATACTTCTCGTGAGAGTCATGATTGAATACCTTGCAGAAATATCTGTGTCACGAGATGATCCTTAGACAATAACCAAAGATGCAGTAAACTAAGCAATATCTAACGTTAGATACAAAAGGAATATACTTGTTTTTGTAACTCATAAACCACTTTATCCATAAATCTTGGAACCGCCAAAGGGTGTTCCGCTTCAATGCTACTTCTTTCTCTAGCAGTTTCAATGAGTTTTAACCAAGGATCATTATACGGATTATAGTGCCCTGGGCCAATCAAATTCGAAGCTCTATGAGGTGGATAACGTTCTGAAGTCTGAAAGATAGAGACAAAACAACAGTGTGATAAATAGAAAGAGAAAATTTTATCCATAATAAAATATTATGCAATATTTACGACTGTCTGTTTTACAATAAATGATGTCTACTCACTATATTAGTATCAAGAAGAAAACCTAGGAGTTGAATAACAACTAAAGTCAATAGTTTTGAAGTAATCAGTTTGATTTTGAAAACACCACCGTAAACATTTTAGTGGCTACGAATACGTAGTACTTTAAATGACCAGTGGAAATTCGGTTCAAATCTTCCCATGTATAATTCATAACCTGCGGTTGGTAGCAATCTGTGAATTGACTTCAAAAAATCTCTTAATGTTACCAACTTTACATTATGCACAGTAACAATATTTCTGATGCAAAATAAAGAAACAATTCTTTTTTGATTATAACTATATAATACTTTCTCTTCTCATATTTTACATACACGCCTTTAATGATATTCATCAAACAATGTGTGAATATATTGCTCTTGAAATTTTTGTTTCAGCATAAGGTACTATGGTTACTGTTATGTATTCACAAAATAAATGGTTAACATTTTTTAAAAAATGGTTGATTTAGTTGCAAGGTCAAATCTACCTCTTAGTCGTAGATTAATATTTGCAAAATATTGACCAGAAGAGAATGAGTAATAAACACACTTCCTTAAACTATAAATATTAGCCTCTTACTTAAAATAATAGATAAATAAAGTAGCGTTGTAAATTTTCAAGGAGATCGTTAATCAAAGCTATTTGGTATTATGATACTCCTCAAATTCGTGCTCAATGAAATCAATACGGTAAGATATAGGATTGATTTTATAATCGCCTTCAACGATAAAATGTAGGACCAACTTAGCCACCATAATCAAAAGACGTCAACCATGACGAAAATTGCAAAAGTAAAACTCACTCTCTTTGACCACCCACATCCTTTATACCGCGTAAAAACAGGATCTTTTATTGGCCCATAAAACGCTGGGCCAAGCGTCACATCTCTATTTGGTCCAGATTGAGGTTGGAGTCGACCATCTGGACCCTCTTCATAACCATGCACAAATTCGCCAGAAGGTATGCTCGGTACATCTCGAAATCGAAAGTCAGTATTTCTCTCATACTGGAAAGGAAAGTAACATAAATAAGAACACTAAATATAGCTTCAAATGAAAAAACCATTCTATGATGATTAGAATTTCACTTGATATTGGTAAGATAGAAAAACCATATCGTAAATCGTTAATTTGCAAAATATCAATCCATCATATCGAACTAGACTGTTCCTGTTGCAAAACATCAATCCATTGTCACTGTTCCCATTGTGTTCCCACTCTTTCTTTCTTGATCTTCCCCCATCTTCTGCTGCCAGACATTACGTTTTTACTCGAGTCATATACTACTTATAAGTAGCGCGCACCACAATTTGATCGAAGGGACCAGAAATGAAGAAGCTAAAAATATATTGTCGTTGAACTCAGAGTTCAACAAATATCCATTAACTTAAATAACTATTCAACTTATAATTAGTGCATTATCAACTCACAGAAATTGGTCGTTTTCCATAGTCCTGTTGTTCACTGACTATACGTTTTAACGTTTTTTTCAAGAGCGGAGGGCTATGTGAATCCTGTTTCTTATCTGCCCATTTTGACAAAATATTGTATGTTTCTGGTCCTGGTCCATCAGAGTTAAACGATGGAAACCGCTTGGCCTTATTTGCAATAGAACAACATCCCTGAATAGAGTGAGAGGGAAGAAATATAATGAGAAAGAAAAATCTAAAGTGCTTGTAATTATTTGAGTACATAGAAAAATGACTACAAAACAATACTGTTAGATATGAAATACAAATTAATCGGAAGTAATAAAACTAATTTAACACTTTTAAACTGTTCGCTCATAAATGAAGATAATTATATACTCTCATTATTTGGACAAACCTGTTCGAATATTCCGTATAATTAATGGAATACACATTATTATCCCCATTGAAATACACGGTTGGAATGCAACACCAACTTCTGAATATGTATCAAACAGCTCCATGTTTTCAGATCTCATGTGATAAAAACCTTCAAACTAATGTTATATAATTTCAAAGTATCCCATACTCTAAAGATTTCATGCATATAAAAGGAGCATTTTTAGATCTAGAACATAATTAATCTTCATAATAACTAGTAATAGCCCGCTTTGACTTATTATAATGATAAAATTCAGAGGTTATCCTCAGCGTTTTTAATGTTCGCTAAGTGCGTCGTGCCTAACACAAATCACTTCTCCACTAATTTAGTAAGTGAATATTGTACACTGCCTTTTAGTTCTCATTTAAAAATTTATTTCAAACCCTGAGTTTCACCATGTGCTTGTTATCCTCTATGTAGAGCCATGTTATAATGAAAGCGTTCATAACAGACAGCCTTCACTAATTTTAGAACCGCGAAATGAAATCTTTAGCGGAATATTACCTCTTAATAGATAGTGAATGAATGGAAAATGACCCTGAATGAACAGCAAGGCACATTTAGTAAACAGTTAAAACGATAAGGATAACCTTAGCCCATTCTAACAAAAACTGGACAGAGATTTAAAGCAAGGTTCTTTTTGATTTTCTGCTAATTAAAGCAAGCTGTTATTTCAAACCATAAAATGTAAAACTATATAAATTGTAAGTCGCTTACAAATTGGCACATAGAATAAACATAAATTGCTTACAGTCGCTTAACATCAAGAGTTCCGATTATAATAATGCATGATGAAAAACTTTTATCAACTTTTTTTTTCATTTTTATAATTACTAAGTTAAACTCCATAGATCACTGCTTCCTTATCTATAGGTTGATTTTTACCAGTTCAAAACTATTCAATCATTTTTATTTAATATTACAGTTTAAAATAATTAGAGAAAGACTGTTTAGGTTTCAGATGGTAAATCAGGTTCTATTTTCTATCAGCTTAATTTTCAAGAAAAAACTACAGCTAGTCTTAAGTATATCTATTTTCAATATTAAGGCATGTTTTTATTTCAATAACGCTAGATTTGAATCAACCATCGGGTAACCAATTACGGTTTAGTCATTAGCTACTGAAATGTCTTTTTTTCGTAAAAAATAGATTCATCCAAAAATTACTAATTGCATTCCATATGATTAAGTAGGTTTGTTGGTGAGATAAAATTGCATAAATAGTGATTAAAGCTGACTTGCAGCAACCGTCAGAAAATCTTCCAACATCTATGTTGACCATATTGTAAAGGTGAGTTTTCGTTACAAATTAATTATCATTCAAGCACTTTAACTGCGGATTATAGTTTAAAAAGTTTCTCTTCTGCACTGTTCTAAAATTTCAGCCTAGGGATATGTAAAATCAATGGTCATTTTTACGAGTAACTGTGTTTTCATTTGCACCTGATATTGATAAGCTATAACAATTCAGGTTGTCGTCAACGAAAAATATATGAGAACGAAATGATTCTTGTTCGTTAGAGGCGTTCAATTTTTGATGCAATGCTATTCTAGCGATTTGATTAAGCATTTAAGATAATTAACTGTAATTACTCAACAAGTAGACTGATTTACAATGAACTTCTTCATTACACAAAACATAAATTCAAATAATTCATAGTATCCATGGAGTAATAAAAGTCTTAGTAGGCGACCTCATCTAGGTTATAAGTATTCATAAATTCCTTATCGGGCGGTTGGACTTGCAGATCCAACACTGTACAAAGTTTAATTCTTCAAATAGTCAGAAATAACTTCCGACGAAAATACTATAAATACGGTGAAAGTAGACAAACTTTATAGTAATGAACTATCAGATTTCGTTGAGAATTGATGAGAAGTTATGTTGTTTTGTAGAATATAAGGCTCGATGGTATTCAGTTAGCGGTGAAGTCTAAAATGAACATTTAGCCCGAAATAGGACAAAATGCAAGCTCTGGATTCTACTACTAGCCAACTGGACAATGCATTAGAGTTTAAAGTTAAAGGTACTCAAGGTGAAATACTAGTGTAAAAATCAACTCTGGAATACAGATGCACCCAGACGATGAGTCTCCATATAGAGCGAAACGTGCGTCTTGGATTACACCTCTAACCAAATTCCGTCTACTCTAAAATATTTAGAATATCAGATTCTAAAAAGAAACCAATGAAATTTACGTAATGGTTAGTTTGGTCATGCAGTTAATAGACTATATTTCGCAAACAGGGATGATGCTTAACACAGATCAAACTACGACGACTCGAAATTCGTTAAAGCATCAGTCATCACTCGTCGAAACTAGTGTGATCTTCAAGGATAACATGAGACCAAATGATGTATATCGGTCATCTACAAAGCTAACCACTATGATCGAACGATTTTGTAAATTCATTACTAACATTGGATACCCCTTATAAAAATATCGTGGTTTTAACGGGTTTTCCATAGCTTTTCACTTTATATATGGCTAAACAGAATTGAAAAATAAATTTTTTGAAGTTTTTTTAACCTTAGGGTAAAAGATTTTAAGAAAATAATATTTGAAAAAATTCATTAGCAAAATTATTTTTAGAAGGGAAATACAATTAAGTTCCAAAGTTAGTCGAAAGTAACTATTGTAAAATCTTTAGCGAAAGTTCGACAACCTGTTGAGATTCCTCTCAAATGCAGGCGTTCTTTGAAAATTTTTCCATTTAAACACTATGAGGTTGTCTTCCGTATCTAGTCGTTTCCTGTTTTCTTAACAAAAATCTTGAATTTCCTGAAGGTCTGCCTAAACACTCAGTAACTCGACGTCTTCTGTTGAATTGGTTATTTGTGAGGCGAAACCACAACCTTCTGGTAACTTGCTATAAACCCAAAAGTGTCACAAATAATTTTCAGCCTCACATAAATGACAGCGTACAACCTAGAAGATGATTCTCGAGACACTAAACCATTCTCGAAATTTGGTAATAACTCATCCTCTGTGAAGTGTAGAGACTGATACAAGGAAAGTGACCTTCTTGCAACCCAGAAGCCGTAATCAAGATGCTTACTTGCTAAAAACCCCAATTTAGCAACTGTGAAATTTAAAGACGAAGACATTTGTTATTAGTTTACTACGTTTTTCCAGTTTTTTATTTTGTTTGGAGTTCAAATGCTTTCGTGATGAATGGCTCTTCCATAATCTTGCTCATATTTTTCTATTTTAAATTCGGAAAGTGACCTTATATGTTAGTTTCCATATTTGATAAATGATCAAAGTTTTTCGGCTACTGAGTAAAAGATAGCTATATATAACTGTCGCTATCCCCGTTTTATTACTTGGGATCTGAGGATTTATTCAAGTGAATCCAGGCAAAAATCTATATCCACCGTCCACTAGTAAGAATACCATATACGCTTAATGATCACTATAAAACCTTTCATATATTATGATCTACTTATCTATAGAGTTAGTAAAACTGACAAAGTGCTAATTATGCTGTCATTTACTCATAAATACAACCGGTTTATGATTCAAAAATGCTGAAGAAAACTAGATTTTAGTGAGCAAAATTTATCTTTTTATTCTATATTTATTTATTCCATCAGTGTTTATTCTGTTAGTAAAATTAAAAGTAAGTCCTAAGTTCTCCATAAAAAGCATGCCTTTTTACTGTTAAATAAGTATAAAAGTACCTGAAATTCATATATTTTGATGACGGATATGGACTTTAAAAGAGATAAATAATCCACTAGACCTAATGAGCCCGGTTGTTAGTTACCTTATTGGCATAATGATGGACTGAAAAATATGCCAGATGGTGTAAAATAGTGTTCAGATCATCTGGCCAATCAACACATAGCTTGTCCGATTGGATCTCTTAAAACGGATAAGAATAAATCATTGTGACACCAAGTAAATAAAACCAAATAACCAAATAAATCTAGAAATGCAATCTTCTAGATAATAGTCTTGCTGCGGTAAACCTTCTATTAATTTATTTTAGCAGTTAGAATGCCTTGAATTAAGCCACAACGTTTCAGCTCGAAACAGCTCTTCTCACCTCCTGCAAATAAGTTTCTTTGTTTTGGTTTGTTTATTTGAAAGCAACAACGAGTAAACGCTCTCTGTAGAGTGGTAGTAATTCGGTAGCAAGTCACATGATAGAGCCGGCTGTGGAATATCTAAACTTACAACAAAAGCTTCTCAGATTAATACAAGCATTTGAATAGAATACTAGGTGTAAGGCCTTGATTGAAAAGATAGGGAAGTCAAAATATCCTTCGCCCATAAATGTGAGTTTAAAAAACGAAATTTCTCGACGAGTTCTGACACTAAAGCAGTATATATAAATAAAAACTCTGGTTTACATTAAATATCTGTCAAAAATTCAAAAAAAATCAACTGTACATAAGTACAGATAGTGGTTTACTTACGGTAAGGCATAAAATTGCTTAATGAGGAAAAATTGTATGTCTGTATGCCATATTTTAATTATTATGGTGAAAATTTCCAATGTTTTTGTCACGAAACTACGCTTGAAAACTTACAAATAGCTTTGGCCAAACAGCCTTCAAAAAAAAACACATATACTTAAAATTTCAAAAATCAGACTTCCTAAACACATGATAGACAAATATGTAAACGAATTATGGGGTACTTTTGTGACAGTCCGAAAATTCTGGCAATATTTTGATACAGTTTTCCAATTCTACCAGTTTTTAATCGAGTATACGTTCTATGTAGATTGATTTTTCAAAGAAGGTAACGTAGATGTATTATTTTTATGATGTATAGATATTACGTAGATGCGAACGCAGGCGACGCATGCAAATATCAACGACTAAACTTAAATATATAATGGTCCAAATGGCTGACTGAGTACAGGTAACGTAATAAACTACTTTTAGTATTCATTTATTACTGAACCCTGTAAGTGAATTTCGTGAAATATAATTACAGTCGCAACGGAAGAAACATAGATCGCATATATTTTCACCTTTACTTTCCCGTATGGTATCTTCGGATAGTACTCTGCCGGTGAGGGAAATGATTCATTATCTAAAGAGCTGAAATTCAATTTTCTTTCTGACAACGACTCGAATGGAGCGTATCCAATAACGCACTCAGGGGTTAACGAGCCGAGAAAATAGTATGATCCTGGACCCAAGTTTTCACCTGTTGCTGTCTTCTCTTGAAACGTGAAAATTCTCCTTTGTCTGTCATACATTTCTTAATCCTAACGGTAACAAAACTAAAGTTTGATTTACGCACAAAATACCACTAGATACAATAGCCAATGCGTGTCTGCTGAACGATATCTCAATATGTTCCAACACCAATATCTTTTTCACGAGCTAGTATGAACCTATTGATTTATTTGCGCTCGATTCTTGTTCATTCGGTACAGCTTCAGGTGTTTGGTAGTGTGCAGTGAATCGGGGTCTACCAGTGGTTTGTTTGTATGCCCCCGTGATTTGAATGAATACGTTTGTTCAGGGCACTAGGATTTCTAGATACCAGCAGCTATCACCTAGCCAGGCTGGAGATCAATTAGCTGAAGTATGGAGAATAATAAGCTGAAAATTGTAATGCTAATAAGCGTAAGATTTAAGGACGAAGTATATAATGGATAATTTAGTTTAATTATTAGTAGCGAAGATTGTGCGAGAGGACTGAAGTGTAAGCAAGGGAGAGGAAACAGAGGTAACGGGCTAAATATATAAAGTTAGTGATCTGAGGAGAAAGCAGTAATAACGACTAGCAAGTATCAGGTACAGTTTGTCCATGAGGGAGATGACAATTCGTATGTGAGTACATGTTTATCAAGTCTCTTCTTAAGGCTGTCCACTGAAGGGGCTGTGGCAACCTCAGCTTCGAGAGCGTTCCAAGTTTTAGCGACTCTTAGTGAGAATAAGTGTGCACGAACCTGAGTGTTTGCTCTATGATGACGAGGATTACCTCGAGAGGAGTGGTGGTAATGAGTCGGTAAGGGGCTCATGTCGGGATGGTTTGGCGTGCTTAACATGTTGTACGCCATAATCACATCACGTCTGATCTTCTTGTAACTCTTGGGTAGTCTATTCTCGTAAGTCTTATCTTTCAACCCAATCGCCCATTTCATTGCTCGTCTCCGCACCCGGTCCAAGAGATTTATGTCTCTTTTATGGAGGTGGCAACATTGTGAGCCTCAAGGTGTGGGCGTAAATATGTCTTAAACAGTTTCAAGAATAATTCAGGGGTGATAGCACCAATTTTACCTCACATAAAGTGAAGATATGCATTTGTCTTGGCTCCGTCCTCTATATGCTTCGACCTGGTGAGGAGGCTTTCGAACTCGCTCTCTGAGGAGACATCAACGACCTGTTAGACACAGTTGGCACTCCGGCCCTGACGCATACGATGGAAAGATCTGGAGGTTCATCAGAGGATTTGAGTGAGCTTCAAAAAGACCTTTCATCCGTTAAGGGAAGGGCAGTGAAAAACGGTTTAAAGCTAAACCAGCCGAAATGTCACGTCGTGTACATTCTGCCCGCATGACGCAAACGATTGAGACACTCAGTGGAAGTCTGCTCCCTAATGAATATGTGGAAGAGAAGAGGACCTAGATACGAGTGGGTCAGTGAAGCTCATTTCCGCGACCTTCGAGATTAGGCGAGCTTGGCGCACCGTGTCGAAGCCTTTTGCAAAGTTGAGAAACATTAAGTGCACCCGTATTGTTCGGTCCAAGCAAGATGTTCAACTGTCTCATGTTATGAGAAGATTAGATACACACGACTTGTCTTTCCGAAACCCGCGTTAGGCTTCATGGACTATTTTATTCCGATCCATGCTCGTTCACCAGCCTTTCCATTACCTTTGATAGTATTGGTTTCCATTAGGCTGAGAGCTGGTGTGACTTCAGTGAGTGCCTGAGCAGAGGGCCTCTGCGCATTGTTTCAAGACTATGGGGTAAATATTGCCCTGAACCTGATGAATTTCCTAGGCATAAGGTTTATAGTTTCCTTAGTACTAAGTTAGGAGTAGTAAGGATATTCCCTAAGCTATCAGCTGGCACTAGGTTTGCGTAGTATTCTGAACATGTGGATGCTTGGTTTAACTGATCGTTAAGGTTTGTTTTGAATATCCCAGCCATCTCTAGATTGGTGGGGTCTAACCCATTCTGACCTTTGAGATAACACGAACCCCGATTCGTAGGTTTTCTTTTTGTCATGAACCTAGACAGCTGCTTAGGAATTGCCTGTATTTGGACAACTAGCTTCATCTAAAAGCGTTTCCTACCACCTAGATCTTTGGTCTTCGATCTTTTTCTCAATGCCAAGTAAGAACTACGATCGGAATCCTTAAAGGAAACCTTCCAATTGTTCTAGGCTCTCCTCTTCGCCTGTAGCAAGCGTTCAGTGCCGCGCCTAACCCATTTTCTTCTGTTTCCAGGTGTGTGGTGTGACTGAGGTACAGCATTCTGTACCTGTTTGTCAGTGATCATCTACTGTCAACCTCCGCCTTTCCCATGTCCATGGGGCATGTAGAAGGTTCCCTGTCATGCGCGCGCGATTCGCTCTGGCGTAGGAAAGATAGGGCTGGTTTTCGTCCTGCCCCAGTGTTTCGTTTATGACCATGTGAAACGAGACTGTTCCATGGTCACTACTCCACGTTATTGTATGGATGTGAATAACCTCGACCAGCAGCTGATCATTTATTAACAAACAATCCAGCCTTGAGGATTTTCCTCTTATGTCCATCTAGTGGCACTGTATACATGTTCAGTAGGCCCAAAGCTTCTAATTGGGAATTGTATCCCGAGTGCTGAGATGAAGCGTTGAAAACTCCATCTAAGTGTAGTTAACGAAACCCAAGGAGCGGTAGTTGCAGTATTTCTCCAGTATTCCTAATGCATGAATTACACAGACACCAGACGTGGTTACTTAATGGCGTGAGGTGTGACGGGCGAGGACGACGAGAAATGCAAATGGCCATCGTCGCGTAAAGCCTTAGGCTGCATGATAGCTATCGCCACTGTTGTGCACCAGGCACGTGAGTCTCATCCAAGCCAGCATCATCCAGTTCGGTAGGTCGTGTTTAACGCAGTGTTCCGCTCTTAGTTGTCTGGTGATATCCGAGCTTCCGCCCGCACCGGCCTCAGTTCATAGCTAAAATCTGGAATGACAATTGAACCGAAGGTCTCTGGGATGAGAGGAGGATCTCTCAGGCAAGTTGTGCCGAGTCTGGTGTTAACCTCATTGGAGGGAGTTTCTCTTTTGAGACGTTCTCGCCTTTGAAAAAGCGACATCTTTTTGCCAGGGTATTGCACATTTCGATGATGGCGTACTAATTATCCTATTACTCCTTATAAAAAGCGGCCCTACCTTCTAGTAAGCTACCTTTCGACGCTGGAGCATCAAATAAAGTGAATAAATTTAGTCTACTCTCCCTGTCCCTGAGTGTTCGCCGTTTAAGAGTTGACGTGTTGTTATTCTACTTCTTCATATTTATCCACTGTTCTGTATTGTTAACAGATACTTGGGGGGTCATCAACAACCGGCAGTTTTGTCAGTGTGTTCGTTTGAGTTTCATTTACCTTGGTCGCCTCTTTCACTGGTTTAATGCCAGGTAATTAACGTTTGTCCGTTGAAACTTATGAGTTAATTTGTTGTGAGGTCTGTGGCTGCGCTAACGCCTTAGTTACTCTGCACCGTGGACTGACATACCAGAACCACGAACGGAGATTACTCAACATGAACCCATAGTACTCTTTAGGTACTGTAGTGTCGCGGTGATAATGGACCCATTTACTACAGAAATCGCAGTCAGAAGCGAAGTCACTGATTTTGACTGACATTGAGCAGGCAATACAGTCATTCTTATGCGATTTCTGTACGATAGACTGTGTCAACAGAACCTTGGGACGCCTTTTTCTCCCATTCTTATTTAGCCTACTGGTCTTTTTTCGCAAAACAGTATCCTTTTTATACCGGTAAATCGGTACGACTCATTCCTCTTATGCAGTGCTGATATAATCGTACGAAACGATTGATTTCAGCAGTGATTTTTGTCATTACTCAAATTTTTGGTAATGCTACTATACCTTATGAGATATCATATAATTACAGCTATCTATGTTTACAGATTACGCTCGTATTCTTGAGGATTCACAACTGTTTCATTCATTCTTATGTCTTTCTCTATTTCTCGGCGTAATGTGTTCCTTGGCCTTCCTTTTTCCCGTTGACCTTGAGGGTTCTATTTGAGGGCTTGTCTTGTTACGCAGTTGGGTGCTTTTTGTAGTGTGTGTCCTATCAACTTCCACCGCTTCTTCTTCATTTCATTATCCGCTGAAATCTAGTTTGTTCTCTCCCACAGTACCTTGTTGCTGATAGTGTCTGGCCAACAAATCCGAAGTATTTTGCGCAGACAACTGTTATTAAATACTCGTATCTTCTGGATGATGGCTTTGGTAGTTCCCGAAGTTTCCACTCTAGACAGTAGAACCGTCTTGACATTTGTATGGAAAGTCCTGATTTTGGTGTTGATTGATATTTGTTTGTAGTTCCAGATATTTCTCAATTGTAAAAATGCAGCCCTTGCTTTGCCAATCCGCGCACTCACATCTTCATCGGATCCACCTTGGTTGTCGATGTTGCTGCCCAGATATGTAACGGGTGTTAACCTCCTCCAAGGCATCTCCATCCAGCGTGATTTGGTTGGTGAATGTTGTGTTGTATCGTAGAATCTCACTTTTCCCTTTGAGTAAGTTGAGAGCTACTGCAACTTAGGCTGCTGCTACACTGGTCGTCTTCTCTTGCATATGCTGTTGCGCATGAGATAGGAGAGACAGGTCATCTGCGGAGTTCAGATAGTCCAGCTGTGTCCTAGCTGTCCAATGAATACTGTCTTCATAATCCAGTCGATCACCAGGAAGGAGAGAGATTGTGAGAGTAAGCTACCTTGCCTGACACCGGTCTTCACCTCGGACGAGTCTGTCAGCTGTCCTGCGTTCACTATTTTGCAGTTAAATTCATCACAAGTATTCCGTGTGATGTTGACTGTCTTCTCAGGCACGCCGTAGTGTCGAAGAAGCCTCCACAGTGTTTTCCTGTTCGCTCTAGCGAATGCTTTCTCGTAGTCAATGAGGATAATTTAAGGTGGTAAGTTTCATTCAGTTGATTATTCCACAATGATCCGTAATGTAGCAATTTGGTCAGTACACGATCGATCCCTACGAAATCCAGC